CGAATTTTCAGTTGGGTCCTATTTCTTCTTTTTTTTTTTTTTTTAGATAAAGTCTCTGACGCCGTCTCACTGGCGTCCTACCTCACAGCAACCTCAAACTCCTGGGCTCAAGGGATTAAGCCTTGATTGCCTCAGCCTCCTAAGTAGCTGGGTCTACAGGTGCCAGCTGCAATGCCAGGCTCGGTTTTTTCTTTTTTTTTTCCGAGACACAGTCTTCCTCTTGCTCAGACCAGTCTTGAACTGAGCTCTAGCAATGCGCCTCTGCCTCCCCGAGTGCCAGAATAACAGGAGAGAGGCACCATGCCAGCCTTGTCCTCTCGCTTTTAACTTTTCATCTTGCCTCATACAATCCCTCAAGCTCTGCTAAAAAAAACTTTGCTAGGTTTATTTCTTTTATTTATGTATTTATTTTTTTGAGACAGTTTCACTACGTGGCCCTGGGTAGAGTGCTGTGATGTCACAGCTCACAGCAACCTCAAACTCTTGGGCTCAAGCGATTCTCTTGCCTCAGCCTCCCAAGTAGCTGGGAGTATAGCCTCCTGCCACCACATTCGGCTATTTTTTTTTTTTCCTATTGATGCAGTTGTCACTATTGTTGAACTGGCCCGGGCCAGGTTTCCAACCCGCCAGCTTCACTGTATTTGGCTGGCGCCAGAACCACTTTGCTACCGGCGCCGAGCCTGTGAGGTTTATTTCTAACCCAAATAATTTCTTAAGGAATTTTCCACAAACCTATCCATTTTAATTTTTGTTTTCTTTTCTCATACTTATAAATACTGAAACAAAATTAACCAGAAAATCATAGATACCTTGAAAATATATATTTAGTTTGCCCGTATTAAAGAGTGCTGACTTTCCTGATTATTTTCTGTTATGTTAGTACAGCCACTGTTCTTTGGTAAAAATGATGCTCATTTGTACTGTTATTTAAAGTAAACCTGTTTTGAAGTCCTCCATTTAAGTTGTCCTTATAGAGACAAAATTTGGCTACTGAATCTGAGACATGTTACATAACCTGATTTATTTAATAAATTAATCCTTCCAATATAAATTTAGTCCATTACTGTTCTAGCTACTAGAAGTATGTCACATCTTGCAATAATATGGACACCCAATAATCCACATTCCATCTGAGGGAAATATCACATAAAATTCTCAAAATAAAATATATTATATCCCGTAAGATATTTATATATGTAGCATTATGTAAATAAAGACAACTGAGTGACATTGATTATTTAAAGGGAGATTGGAAAAGTTTCACAGAGATATTACATTTAAAAATCTTAATCTTTAAATATAGGTTTCTGCAAGTGGAAAGTGATGGTTGGGCATGTATTAGTAGAGAAAAACTCACACAGAAGGAAAAGACTTGAAAGACCTGGGCTTTTCTGGGAACCCATAGCCACAACTGGGGTTTAGATGAAAATGTAAAAATTATTCCAAGAAGAAATAAATGACAAAAACTATAAACTGAGGTTTTTTTCCTGCAAGAAATGAAACACAAATTAAGATATGTTGTTTTCTTGAGAACAAGCAGATTTTATTTTTTTTCTGCTTAGCATACGCTTAACATGCTTCAAATAGCACTCGGAATTTCTAGGAGGGAAAACCCATGTCCCAATCTTTGTCTACTTGGTTTAGACAGAGCTGAATTCACTTGCCATAGCTAATGAAATAGTTCCAAGGAGCCATGTCCAACCAGCTATTTTATAATTCTGGTAATAGTAATTGCCTTCAGTCTGAGCACATGATCAAAAGCAGTCCAATTAAGGGTTAAATATGAGATGCTAGCCGGAACTACTGAAAATGAGAAATCATTTTCCATTGTGGGGCTAACCTAATAAGATAAAAATTTAAAGATGCTTGTCGCTATCTTTTCTACCTAATAATGAGGAAAACTAGCACAAAGAAAAAGAGGAAAATACATTTTGAGACATACTTGAAGTGAGATGTGCCTTAGGCTTTTTGGATTTGTAAGTCAAAGTATTCCAGTTTTTAAAGTATAAGCTTGTGGAGGATTTCTGTCACTTACAAGGAAGGGTACTAATAGCTGCAGCAGGAGAGTGATATGATCAGTGATCTAATCAAAAATGTTAAGTAACTTTTAATAACTTTGCATGTAAAACTTGTTATTGTCCGTTCTTTAAAGTTATCATGTCAGTATAATTTAGATTTTAGTTTTTAAATGGAAAAATAATAAAGCAACGAATCTTTTTCTGTTAATCATTTGTTTAAGTTATTAGACACTGAAATTGAGCATATTAAGAAATGAACTATCTTTTTCTTGAATTATAAACAAAATATAATTTTAATTCTGTCATATACATTTCCTACCTTTTTGTACCCTGAGGTCCTTTCAAAATTTCCGTGCTTTTTGCTGAGTGTGGTGGCTCATGCCTGTATTCCTAACACTCTGAGAGGCCAAAGCAGGAGATTTTTTGAGATCAGGAGTTCCAGACCAGTCTTGGAAACATGGTAATACCCTCATCTTTATATTAAAAAAAAAAAAAAACTAAAAACGTAGGTGGATGTAGTGATGCATGCCTGTAGCTTAGGTACTAAGGAAGCCAACAAGGGAGAATCACTTAAGCTCAGGAGTTTTAGCTTCAGTGAGCTATGAATTACTCCATTCTAAGCTCTAGCCTGGGTGAGAGAGGAGAGCTTGTCTCAAAAAAATTCCATTTTTTTGTTTCATATATCACACAATGTATTAGAAAACCCCAGTCCAGTAATACTTAATTCTCAAATGAAGAGAAAATATTCTGAAGTGAAATACCACAGAACATTTGGTTTATATTAAGAAAGAAAATGGTCCTGGTGGGAAATAAATTTTTTTTGCTGGTACCTTAATAAAGAGTGAGATAATGTTATGTGACCAATTAGCTTCCTGGTGGTATTTTTAGGATGCCTAAGTTTAGCAAAGTCTTAATTAGTGTGAGGAGGTATGTGTGCCTATGCGTGCACCTATGGGTAGCCTGTGTGTTTAAAAAGTCTAAGCAGATGTTTGGTTAGATTAATAACAATTAACTTTAGTGTACCTTCTGGCTACTACTACTAATAGATTTATTTCAGTGAAGGATTTTTTTTTTTAAATTGCTTCTTTTGAACCAGATTTCAGTTAGTTTTGAAATTTTCTCTACAATGACAATGTACTTCATTTTAAACTTAGGAACCTCACAGTGTGACAGTTATTTTCTATTTAGAAGTCTTAACTTTAATATTTGTTCCTAATAATTACAAATAATGTCTGCAAACAATATTTCCATTCAATATGTTGAAAGGAAACACATTGAAATAATTCAGTACATAGGAAAAAATGGTTGGGTTGAGAATTAAGAGACCCAAGTTGAAATCTTGGGTCCAGTAATTGTCTAATTATTTAATGCCTCTACGCTTCAGTTTCACAAACTGTTAAGAATTTGAATCCTCAATGTATTTGTCAAAGTTTGATTTAGTCAGTGGCTTGGACAAAGGGAACAGAAAATAATGCCTGAACTATGGTGCTGAATTGGCAATCATGAAGTAAAGAGGAAAAATTGAGTGGGGCTAGAATTAGTCCCAACAAATATTGTGCTGAAAGGGAAGGAAGGAAATCAGAGTAGGCCCAAACTCCAAAGTCAAGCTAGGAACAACTGTTTCCCAGAACGTTAATTCAAAGTCAGTAAGTTGAAATGGAGTATTGAGCCACAGCAGGCAGTTCAAGAAGATTCAAAGCTGAGCTAGGGGAAGGTCATGATGACCTTGGGGAACAAAGCCATGAGATAGTAGCAGATGTGTGAGACTTCAACTGCAGCTTGCTAAATTAAAATATTTACACCTTGGATCTCAGAAGGTTAGTACTCTGTTCTCTCAATAATTTATTGTTTATAAGACATTTGTGATGGATGACCTCAATGATTTTTGTGTCACAGTTTTAAGAAGGAGAATATAATCTCAACCTTTTAATTTTTATTTTTGAAAACACCAATAAAATGTTTAAACTTCAGAAAGTGGTTAGTACAGAAAAATATGCATAAGTAAAAAAAGAAGCAAAACCAAAACAACACAACATCTTATTAGTACAAGTCATTTGCTTTTTAAACATTTTTTACATTTAAGCTCATAATGAAAATGATCAGTTTTACCATTCGGGTGGTGAAAGGGAAAAATAAAGGTGTATTTATCATCCACTAGATGTGTTCTGTTGTATGGGAAGTGCAGTTGTCAGACTTTTTAATAAACTGGCCAGCCATTTGTTCCTGTACAGCACAGGAGCAACAAAGAGAAAACATGAAATAATCAAGGGCTGCACTACAAAGCACCACTTTAGCAGCTAACTTGCATTACTCAACTGTTATACAACTGAGTCCAGTGCACAAGGATACCTAAGAGGTTAAAATTGTATTTGACAAATAATTGTTTGAAAAAATTAAATTCTTTTTGCCTGAAACGTCTTCATACAGATCCATGTTCACATATTGCACCATTTAGATGTGAATATAAATGGCATATATTAATATATTAACGCCAAGTTTTGTAGGTTTTTACTTTTAAAAAAATGAAGGTAAAATGAGTTAATCACTAGACCATTTGGGACTACTCAATAGCACGTGGCTGCAGACATTTTCTTAAATTAGAAGGCCACAAATTGGATTAACAGTCTCTTTACTTTCAACCCAACAAATTTCAGTGCACTAAAGAAAATGAAATCTTACTTCAGATATCCAGACCTATAACGAGAATTTAAGTATTTCACTTAACCAACTTACAAGGTACCCAAATATTATTATTCAAATAACAGCAAGCAAATTCTATATAAAATTAAGTTTACCAGCAGAGGCAAGGCTTAAAACAAATAAGAACCACATTTTACAAATATAACACATTTTACAAGCAAACATATTCTACTGTTAGTGGCTTTGTTCTAAGTATTTGTCAATCAACAGAATATAAACATTGCCCTAGCCCCCACCCAGTTCTCAGGTTGCTTGCTGATGAATGACTAATCTAATAGTATTCTATCTTCCCTGTGTAAGATACTTGGAGATACCCTTAGATCTAGATCTTGACCCGGACTTGAATTCCCTTTTGTATCTTGGTGGAAGGCTTCTGGACCTAGAGCTGGAACTGGTTGACGAAGAAGACCTGGACACCGAGGAGGACTTGGATTTGGATCTTCGGGTTGATCTCCTGGACCTCGAAGATGATGAAGATCTATCTCTATTGCGAGAAGGAGAGCGATGAGAGCAACGAGAGCGAAGGAGAGCGATGAGAGCAATGCGAGCGATGGGAAGGAGAGCGACGAGAGCGATGGGAAGGAGAGCGACGAGAGCGATGAGAACCAGAGCGACGAGAGTGATGAGAGCGAGAGTGATGAGAGTGATAAGAACGAGAGTGAAAACGAGAGCGACAGCAGAAGCAACAGTGAGAGTGACATCGAGAGTGACAGTGACATCGAGAGTGACAGCAACAGCGACAATGATTATGACACCGAGAATGACCATGAGAGTGAGGCTTCGACTTCAAGCAGCTGACACGCGATCTGCTGCTGGATCTGGATCTGGATCTGGATCTGGACTGGATTCTGGATCGGGACCGGACTCTGGATCGGAACTGGTATCTGGAACGAGATTGGCTGCTGCTATTATGCTGTTATTAGAATGGCAGCATCGACCGTGCCTTAGGCTGTCGTTCTGGGGATCATACCTGACTCCCTTGTATCTGCGGTGTAGAGATAGTGTTTCCTGGCTGCGGCTGCGGTTGCAGCCGGGGCCTCGGCCTCGGCCAAGTTCTGATGGGCCTTGGCAGAGTTCTAGCGGGCAAGCACAGTGTGCCAACTGTACTTGAAGCTCATGGCCATCCAGCAAGATACCGTCTAGGGCACCCAAGGCATCCTCAGCATGATGCTTGTAGCAGAAGCGGATGAAGGCGAAGCCACGGGACTCATTAGTGAGGCGGTCCCGTGGTATATATACGTCATCAATCGGCCCATACTTCTCAAACATACGCCGTAGGGTGTATGATGAAGTGTGATAGGTCAGGTTGTTCACCTTGATAGAAGTCATAACTTCCCCTTTAAGAGGACGACTATAACTCATAGTTTTCAAGAGCTTGGCCTTGAGCCTTTCCCAACTGAACACCCAGCAGTTGTGAGCGGACGCCAAATGGCCTCTGCTCTTTTAAGGGGGTTGCTCTAGGCTCCGCCTCTTCCTCTGTTGCTTCTGGTTGTGAGTTCTTAAGAGACTATAGAATGTTCTGCTCCACCCCTTCCTCTGTTGCTTTCGGTTGTGTTTAAGAGACTTTGAGGACGTTGCATAAAGCCCTGTCGGTCCACAGAGTCAAGTCTAGCTTGAGAAACAGTGCTGCACCATTTTTTTGAGCTTAGTCTTATAGCAAAATCATATTGTGACCTTTTTAGTATAAATTAAAAATCTATTTGAAGAATGGATACAAGTTATGTAGATACAGATGTAATCATGTGATTTGAAATCCCTTTGCAATTCTTTTTTTTTTTTCTTTGCCATTTTCTTTTGCAGTTTGTCACTCTGGGTAGAGTGCCGTTGCTCATAGCAACGTCCAACTCTTGGGCTTGAACAATTTTCTTGCCTCAGCATCCCAGGTAGCTGAGACTACAGGTGCCTGCCACAAAGCCAGACTTTTTTCTTTCTTTTTTTTTTTTTTTACAGTTTTTGGCTGGGGCTGGATTTGAACTCGCCACATCCAGTATATGGTGCCAGTGCCCTACTCCTTGAGCCATAGGTGCCACCTACCTGCCTTTGTAATTCTTATTCATATAGGGCAGAAATAACTTGTCTTATTTAGAGACAAGACCAAAAACAATCATAAGCAGGCAAATGTAATTCAATAATACTATACTAATGGCAAAGCCACTTAGAGGGTGTGAACTGTAATCAGAAATTTAGTATGGCTCTCCTTTGCCAGAGGCTGCTTGCAAAAGTGAATGAGTAAAAAGTGTCATAATGTATATTTTAAAATTGTGTAATTGAATATAACAATTATTAGACTCTATGCTGCTTCCTTATTAACTGACCCAAGATTTTTACTACATACAATGAAAAGAAAATGGTAACTATTTGAAGTGATGGATATACTAATTAGCTTGATTGTGGTGGTGATTTCACCATGCATAATATGTCAAAACATCAAGTTGTACATGTAAACACAATTTTTACTTGTCAATTATACCTCAATAAAGCTGGAAAAATATGAAAACAATTTTACAATTATATTTTATCAAATAAAATAATAACAATTATATTTCATACAATTTTATATAATGTTATACAATTATATTTTATCAATAAAATAATAACAATTCTATTTTATCAAAGAAATAATTTCTCATAAATCATATTCCATTCCAATAAATGAATTTGGCAATGATTGGGAGATACAGAACATAATAAAAATATTAAATATTTCTCACAAAAATATTAAATATTTCTCACCTTCAATAAACATTGTGTATGCTTTGCAAACCACAAAATCTTTTACATATCTTGAATGTATGTACTGTATATATGTTATGGTTATCCATTGTTGCATAACCACCTACATCAAAACGTAGTGGCTAAAACCAACAATTTATCATTCTTTTATGTCAAAATTAGAAAGGTCAAGAATTCAGAGAGGGGACAGTGAGTCTTATTTCTGTGCCATTATATCTGATGAATTAGCTGCAGTGTCACTATTGGCTAATTCTGAATCCACCAGTTATTTTCCTCCATCTTGTTCTCTCTTTGCACAGCATCTCTGTTGCTAGCCTGGCAGCTGTGGGGTAGTCATATTTCTTACATAGCACTGCAGGTTTTCATAAGACCATAGGTAGACGCATTTCTCCATTTAAAATCTAGGCCCACAGCAGTATGTAACAATTCTGCAGTTTTCCATTGCTCAATGCAACCATAGGCCAGACCAGGTTCAAATGGAGGGAAGAAAGGCTCTCCGTATGAGAGAGTGCAAAATATTTGCAACCATTTTTAATCCACCATAATTAGCACTATGGAAAGATACTTATGTTCTTCCCAAGTGAAGAAATATAGTCATCCTTTTCCAAGACCACCAAAGTCTTATTTCTTATGGCAATGAGATGACCATTCAGGATCTTGTCATTTTATTTAGGCCCAGGTACAGAAGACTCTCCTCAAATGCAGTTCCTTGAGTTTTATTCCCCTCAATTAAAACACAAGTTATTTATTCTCCTCATATTTTGCACGTAATATTAGGATATTAGAGGATAGCCTTAACTGAAAATTCTACTCTAAAGGAGGAGTAATCCATAGCAATCCTAAAATTTAACTGAGCATATGTGTCCAGATCCTTGGTTAAGGTCCAGAGTTATTCCTGGAACAACTGTTGATCTTTTGACATCTTTGTTCAGCCTTCTGAGCCGTCCTATCTTTCTCAATAAAAATGGCCCATGTTTGTGGCTGAATAGCTTTTGTAGTGTTTTTTTTTTTTGTAGGCAGAAGATTGAGGTACCAAGGATTCTTCCCCTCTTTCTGAACTATTTCTGTTTCTTTATGGTTCAAGCTCATGTTGCTGCCAATAATACTAATTCATCCTCTCTCTCTCTCTCTCTCTCTCTCTCACACACACACACACACACCGTGCTTATAATTCTTATTGGGTGGATGCTCCATTAGACAAAAGCTACACCCACATCACCTTCCAAGACAGGTCCTTATTTACCTTGGGCCATTTGTGACATTAATGCAACCATAGGCCAGACAAGGTTCAAATGGAGGGAAGAAAGGCTTCTTTTATAATTATATATTTTTTATAATTCTTAGAAGTCCTCTTGCCCAGCAAAGAGTGTTTGTAAGGAATGCTTTGCAATACTTTGAGGTATTAAAACAAGTATCTTATGGCTATGCATTTTACTTCTTGTTTATCCTGAGACCACATTTTACTGTTTAAATTTTGTGTTTTGCTCTCATGGCCATTGGTTAACTTCAAACTTTTTCTTGGGTGAAAAGACCGTCCTGGGCACTCTATATTTTTATTACATTATCTTCTAAAACTAAAAAGTTCCTTCCCTAGTTCATCTATATCTTCTCAATATATATTCAATATATTATATTATCACAGGCATTTAGAAGAAGCTGACTGAATTTTTTTCACTCATTCACTCATTCTAGAGATTTTCTCAGCCAAAACCATGAGTTTACTAGGTACATTCGCTATTTTCCAGAACATTCCTAGTAATCATTTTTCTAATTGTTTTGCAGTATATTACTTACTTGTCCATATCTCCGTGTACTTTTTTTTTTTTTCGAGACGCAGTCTCACTTTGTCACCCTGGATAGAGTGCTATGGCATCATAGTTCATAACAACCTTAAATTCTTGAGCTCAAGCGACCCTCTTGTCTCAATCTCCCAAGTAGCTGAGACTACAGGAATCTGCCACAATACCCGGCTACTTTTAAAGATAGAGTCTCACTCTTGCTCAGGCAATCTATCCTCCTTAGCCACCTGTGCTAGGATCCTGTGCTAGGATCACAGGCGTGAGACACTGCACCTGGCCTGTCTTCTCTTTTGCTCATTTTTTAAAATTTTAAGTGAATAATTTCATGCCTTACTAAGATACACGTAATTTTTTTTATTTGTTCAAGCTACTTTATCACCTTCTCAGTAAAAAGCATTTTACCTCTCAATTACATGAGTTGCCTTGAGAGAAACCATTCCAAATTAAGGTGGACTTATCGATATTTTTTTCCATTAACAAAAGCAGCAAAATACATGTCACAAGTGTTATAAAAAGTATATTGACTTTTATCCATTTATGTTTCATTAAATCATAACTGTGTACATTAATGCATTTATGGAGTACAATGTGCTTATTTTATCTACAATTTGGAATACTTACATCAAACTGGTTAACATAGCCTTCACCTCACTTACTTGTTGTGTTAAGACATTTATACTTTTAATCTCTTAACAGATTTGAAATGAGGACTCTATGCCTTTGTATAAATTAGTTTTATGGGGACAAGTCATGTTTCATGAAAATCAGGTTTGATTTATGTCAGACAGGAGAGACTATGGAATCAGCTTTTCGGAACTTAAATTCTTGTACTGGCCCCACCACAAATAAGTCACACTATTTGATACAAGTCAAAACCTCAGCTCAAGTTTTAATTTAATATTTTTTAAGTTTCATCTCCCCAATTTTCCATATTTCTAATGACTTTAATTTGTGAGCCAGAACTCTGAAACCAATGACCTCTGAAACTAATAAGTAATATATAGCCTCAAAAGATACAATATAATCTTGGAGTTTGGTGACCCCTCAAGATCTTTTCTCTTCCTACGCCTTTGAGCAAAAATGGTCAGCTTTCTCAGTTAAATCTCCCTTATTGTCTTGCTACACTCAAACACTCAGTATACACTGAATAGAAGACATGAATTATCTTGGAGCCTAGCTATGATTTGCTTGAGTCCAAGCTCTTCCATCCTGAAAAAAACTCTGTATGCCTTTCAGTAAGTAGGCTCCTAGTGGAACCTTGGAGGACATTATCTAAGAGGAATTCCTTGGGAAATGTTGACAACACAAGTCCAATCATGCTATAAATAAAAGAAAGTTGGACTTCTAGCCTCAGCTCACTCACCCAGTGTTTTCCATAGTATGTTTAGAGAATCACTGCTTTGGGGAGATGATGTTGGAAAAACAGGATTTGTGTCGAGATGTGTTTGGGAAGTGTTACATATACATAGCAGCTAACAGAGAATGATAGCATATTAAAAACTGACAGAAAAAAGATGTATTTGTTGTTAACATTTGCAGCCTAGCATTTCATGAAAGAATTTCACCAAAGCACGCACACATTACCCCTTCTCCCACCACCATACATACCCACACCCACAGGCACACACACAGATATATAAACTATAATATCTCAATATATCGAAACATGCCTTCCTCTAAATGTAATTGGGTAAAAATCCAACTAGGTTCCTTTTTTTTCAAGTCACATAATAAACTATTTTTTGTTTGGTGCCTGTTTCTTGATTATCAGTCAGGGTCCTGGCAGGAAATATAATTCATCACTTTAATGAAAGTACTAATAGAGATGAA